CACACGACATGTACAGCTTGTGTGTTGACGAGACTACGGCACCGTCTAGAACATTCTTTAATGTAATGCCTAAGAAAATTCAAGATTATGTAACAAACTAATCTTTAAAATATGTCTACCTATATGACTCTCAATGGTGTCTTACCTAGAATCCTCAGACAATATCCATATTTTACGAAATGTAGATAACGTCTCACTGTACAACTGCAAAACTTAACAGAGGCATTGGTCGTAGATATTTTGTGTACTTGTAGTTGTAGGAGCTACCCTCACAGGATGGACAGTGTGTGCACGATAAACTAGTAGCTCTGCATCAAACGATAATTCAACTTACACACACACACTCAGACACCGACATTTCATTTATTCAAACCCAACATTACTGGTACACGTACAGGGAATTCAAGATGGAAACAGTACATAAACATCATTACACATTGAAGATTGTTTAAAGGTGTCTCTCCCTCTCACCCTCTGTCTCTCCCTCTCACCGTCTCTCCCTCTCACCCCTCTATCTCTCTCCCACTCATAACTTTGTGAGGTCATCTCCTATACTGTACCTTAGCTGGATGATGGAAACAGGTTATTAAATTTCTATAAATGTGATCTATATACAAGAATCTGCTGGATGTGGTGACGAGTGTGTTTGTTGGTTAAGATTTTAGAAGATGATATTAAATGACTGTCCATTCATTGTCAACATTGATTTAGAAATGATGGTGATTGCTTTCTTCATTATCTACCGTCAACTGAAGATTTTTCACTATCATCCAACTTTACCAGACAACATTACACCCTTACTATCGTCTCTTCAGTGAGCGTCACCATCAACTTTTGCTATCATCATCATTGTCATCTTTCCTTATCACCGACACCCTGGTTAGAGTCACCGTCACTCTATCAAACATTCCCGTCATCTTAAACTTGCGTCACTATCGTCCACGCTACGACATCCTCGCCTCCTCCGTCACCTTCCCGTCACCCACGCCTCCGTCATCGTACCTGCTATCGCCCGTTACCCTGGTCCACCACGCCTCCGTCACCCAGGGCATGGAGGGCTCGGGGTTTCAGCGTGAGGAGGCGTGGACGTTTGGAACTGTCCCCATGGCTGGCCAGCTCACCTGTGTGTCCCACTAGTGAGGCGTCTGGCCCAAGTCCTCCATGGGAACACTCGCCCACCACCGCCCATACCTGCCCAACTATTGCCCATACCTGCCCAACTATTGCCCACACCTGTCTATCACCCATACCTGTCCACCACCGCCCATTTGTCTCCACCGCCGCCCATACATGCCCAACCATTGCCCTTACTTGTCTATCCGCCCATACCTGTCCACCGCCCATACCTGTCTATCCCGCCCATACGTGTCCACCACCGCCCATACCTGCCCAACTATGGTCTATACCGTCTACCCCATATACGTCTATCCCAGCCATACCTATCCACCACCGCCCATACGTGTCCACCACCGCCCATACCTGCCCAATTATTGTCTAAACCTGTCTACCCGCCCATACCCGTCTACCCCGCACATACTTGTCTACCCCGCCCATACCTGTCTATCCCGCCCATACTTATCCACCACCGCCCATACCTGCCTACCACCACCCCATACCTGGTGGCCTAAACCTGTCTACCGCCCATACCTGTATTTCCCGCCCATGCTGCCCACCACCACCCATACCTGCCACCACCACCCATACCTGTCCACCACCACCCATACCTGCCCACCACCGCCCATACATACCCACCACCACCCATGCCGCCCACCACCACCCATACCTCTCCACCACCACCCATACCTGTCCATCACCACCCATACCTGTCCATCACACCATGCCTGTCATCACCACCCATACCTGTCCATCACCACCCATACCTGTCCACCACCACCCATACCTGCCCCACCACCCATGCCTCTCCACCACCACCCATGCCTGTCCACCACCACCCATACCTGTCCATCACCACCCCATACCTGTCCACCACCACCCATACCTGTCCACCACCACCCATACCTGTCCATCACCACCCATACCTGTCACCACCACCCATACCTGCCCACCACCACCCATACCTGTCCACCACCACCCATACCTGTCCACACCACCCACATACCTGTCCATCCCACCCATACTGTCCACCACCACCCATACCTGCCCACCACCCATACCTCTCCACCACCACCCATACCTGTCCACCACCACCCATGCCTGTCCATCACCACCCATACCTATCCCCACCCATACCTGTCCATCACCACCCATACCTGTCCATCACCACCCATACCTGTCCACCACCACCCATACCTGTCCATCACACCACCCACCTGTCCATCACCACCCATGCCTGTCCATCACCACCTGTCATCACCACCCATACCTGTCCATCACCACCCATACCTGTCCACCACCACCCATACCTCTCCACCACCACCCATACCTGTCCACCACCACCATACCTGTCCATCACCACCCATACCTGTCCACCACCACCCATACCTGTCCACCACCACCCATACCTGTCCATCACCACCCATACCTGTCCACCACCACCCATACCTCTCCACCACCACCCACCACTGTCCACCACCACCCATACCTGTCCATCACCACCCATACCTGTCCACCACCACCCATACCTGTCCACCACCACCCATACCTGTCCATCACCACCCATACCTGCCCACCACCACCCACACCTGTCCATCACCACCCTGTCACCACCACCCATACCTGTCCATCACCACCACACACCGTCATTTTAAACATTTCTCTGTCCTGTTGTTGGCCATCTGCTCACATTTCTATTTCCTCTACATTTTTTCACAGTTTTGTCGGTCCTAATAAGTCATGTTCTCAATAAGTGATCTTTGTTTTAATGTTAGGTGTGTGTGTGTGTGTGTGTGTGTGTGTGTGTGTGTGTGTGTGTGTGTGTGTGTGTGTGTGTGTGTGTTAATTGTGTATGTGTAGTGATGTGTGTGTGTGTGTGTGTGTTGTGTGTGTGTATGTGTGTGTGTGTGTGTGTGTGTGTTTGTGTTGTGTGTGTTGGTTGTGTGGTGATGTGTGTGTGTGTACTACCTTTAAGCCCTGTACTTAATACATGTACACAAATACAGGTGTGTTGGGGAAGTTCACATCGCCCCCAACACACCTGGGGGTCACCCACCCACCCCCTTATCTCCCCATCTATTCTCCCCAACTGTTATCTCCCATTCCTTAATTTTAATCCTCTTTCCTCTCCCTCTCACTCCTCCCTCTATTTTCATCCATCCTTCTCCCCCCTCCTATCTCTTTCCTCCCTCTCTCCAACCTTCTCCCCCTCCTCTCCCTATCCCTCTCACTCTCAGTTTTACATCTCCCTCTTCTCCTATCCTCTCACTCTCCCTCCTCTCCCCATCCCTCCTCCTCCCCACTCCCCCAACCCAACAGCGCGCCCCTCTATTTAAGTACCCTGTAAGTGACCACCACAATTCTCGGGTGTCACTGTACAGCGTCCAGGTAGTGAAGCTCTCTCCCCTCTCCCCCCTCCTCCCTCTCTCCTCCCACTCCTCCCTAGTTTAACTCTCTTAACTCTCAACCTCCTCCCTAGAAAATCTCTCTCTCTCTCTCCCCCCCCCCCCCCCCCCCTCTCCTCCAAAACTTCTCCTTCCTCCCCAAATCCACCACCCCCCCTCTAAACTTCACCTCCCCATCTTCAGTCCTTCCTCATCTAAACTCCCCCCTTCCTCTTTCCTCCCCTATTTCAACTCCCCATGCTTCACCATCTTCACCCCGAGACTTAGAGCCAACGGGATATTCTTGAAGTTCCCAAGTAATCCCCAGGTCCCAAGTCCCAGGTCTCCCAAGTCCCAGGTCTCCAAGTCCCAGGTCCCTAAGTCCCAGGTCTCCCAAGTCCCAGGTCCCCTAAGTCCCAGGTCCCCTAAGTCCCACAGGTCGTCCCCAGGTAATGATTGAGGTTCGTCAGGTTAATTGGGTGTGTTGGATATTGTACACTGCGGGCTGTACATAGGGTGATATAACACACACACACACACACACACACACACACACACACACACACACACACACACACACACACACACACACACACACGGTGGTCTGGGGTGATGTGTACCAACCATCTGGTGTACTAGTGTCTTGGTCCTCCTCATTACCACCCTCTGTCCTCTCTCTCCTCCTCCTCTTCCCTATTGTGAGGAAGAGAGAGAGAGAGAGAGAGTCAAATTTCCTATCTATTAAAGGAAAAGAATAAGGAAAAGGAAGGAGAGACTAGATGAAAAAGAGGAGGAGGAAGAAGAGAAAGAATAAAGATGATGATGAATAACTGACAAGAAATAAAAGAAGTAAATTAAAAAATAAAATAAAAATAATTGAATCAATTAAGACGTAGTAATTACAGGTAAAACAATCCTCCATTAAGAGAGGTAATATTGACCTTACAGAGAGAGGTTATATTATATATGCTTGAGGTTAAGAGTTTCAACTTATCTTCCTTCAGCATAGCATTATCCACACTCTATTGTGTCTAAAATAATAGTGTTGTAAGTCAATTGTTTTGTTCCATTAAATCAGGTTATTAAAATAGTATACAGTAACATTGGACCATTATCAGACTCTCTCTCTCTCTCTCTCTCTCTCTCTCTCTCTCTCTCTCTCTCTCTCTCTCTCTCAACACCCCAGGCAGGACCACCAACACACCCAGCACACCATAAAAATTTGCATCTCAACCAAGACCTTTTAGTTCCCCTCAAGACACCACGAGAGGCTGTTGTGTCTCTCCCTGTAGCTGTCTGGATTGCCTTGTTTACACTTAGGTAGTTCTGATGTAGTGAGGGTAAGGACTGTAGATGATGATGATGATGATGATGATGATGATGATGATGATGAGTAGTATTAATAACTTCTTGGAATTATTGTATGACGTGTTGTTTTATGATGTTCCTCGTGTCCTTGTTGACCCTCTGATGACCTTTGACCTTTCCTTGTCTCTCCATCAGGTCCCTTCGGCTTCCCTCGTAGGATCGGTCACCCCTACCAGTCCAGGACGCCGCCCAAACGCAAGAAGCCCCGTACCTCCTTCACCAGAGTACAGGTGAGTCCTATCCCCTCCTTCCTTCGTTCCTTCCTTCCTTCTGCCCCGACATCTATACGCACACAAGCCTTATCATATCAACACACACACACACACACACACACACACACACACACACACACACACAGCTTGATCAGGTAAAGAACATCTCACCTGTTCACACCTGCGTCAGTATATTACCAGCTTACCTCACCTCACTACACCTTATCCCCGACAAGAACGACACAACAACTCACTAAAAATACCCTTAAGAAAAATACAGAATTTTTTCAATACAATATAAATTCTTGATGTGTTTTCTGCGACATTTATAAAATTTTCGTTAATTAATTAGACTAACGCAAGTAATAAGACGTTTGTTATAGAGGTATATCACTTTTTTAATTAACCTGTATTTGTTTTAATTAATATTCATGTTATAACACATTAACAAAACATAACCTAACCTAACATAACATAAGATAACGTAACATCTACATAAACATAACATAACATAACATAACATAACCAGTTTTCTAAGCCAAGATCATGAGGGATTATATCATTAATATTCAGATAATATATTACTTAACACATTACTAACATATAATCAGACATAAGTAATTACCAGACATACTTATAAGACACTAATTAATTATCAGTGACCTCTTTAAGTGTACTTGCTGTAGCCGTCCTCAACTTACACCTTGAACTAAATTAATTTCCCTTTCACTAACACTTTCTTTTATCTATACGAAATACACAAGTGAAAATATTATCTAGAACGCACGCACGCACGCACACAATAACACAGTCACACACACACACACACACACACACACACACACACACACACACACACACACACACACACACACACACACACACACACACACACACACACACACACACACACACACACACACACACACACACACACACACACACACACACACACACACACACACACACACACACACACACACACACACACACACACACACACACACACACACACACACACACACACACACACACACACACACACACACACACACACACACACACACACACACACACACACACACACACACACACACACACACACACACACACACACACACACACACACACACACACACACACACACACACACACACACACACACACACACACACACACACACACACACACACACACACACACACACCCCTTCAACTGGTATATCACTAAAAAAACCAATAATCAGATATAGTTCCTAAGTAAATAAATAACTCCACTAGATATCACACACTTAACTAAATTATATATATCTTCACTACAGCCTATACACGTGTTCAGATATAATCACAACACTTAATTACCTATCTATATACCTCAATGGACAGGTGATATTAGTCTTAATTAATTACCTGATCTATATAATTAAGGCATAAACTCACGTCATATCGCCTTATACTAATACTTTAAACTATAACTTATAAATTAGATGGTGTAAATAAACCCTGATTAAACCACTAAAAATTAAAACAACTTAGTATAGTGAAAATAAACCCTGATTACACCACTTAAGCCTTCAAAACAACTCAGAATGGTATTAAAACAAACCTTCATAAACTTCTATGGACTTTTCTTTTCCACATAAACTCTTCCTTTCCACATAAACTATAAATCTCTCCCACATTAGCCTCAACACATGACCCTAAATAACACACAAACTCACTGATACTTTTTTACATGTTATCCAGACTTGTGTTTTGGGTTACATACACAAGACAGTGCTAAAAACATTCGACATCCTCCTCTAGGGACTGTGGTTTTCACACCTGGCATCTCTCCCTTCCCCCTGGTATCCTCCTCCCCCTGGTACCCCCCTTCCCTCTCCCACTCTCCCCCTGGTACCCCCCTTCCCTCTCCCATTCTCCCCTGGTACCCCCCTTCCCTCTCCCACTCTCCCCCCCCTGGTATCCTCCTTTCCCCTCCCCGACCTCCCTGGTGCCCCCCCTTCCTCTCCCACTCTCCCCTGGTACCCCCTTCACCTCTCCTCCCATTCTCCCCTGGGACTTCTCTCTCCCCACCTCCCCTGTATCCCCCTTCCCTCCCCACTCTCCCCTGGTACCCCCCTTCCCTCTCCCACTCTCCCCCTGGTATCCTCCTTTCCCCTCTACGCCTTCTCTTTGGTATCCCCCTTCCTCTTCTCTTCCCTTTCCTTCCCCTCCTACCCTCTTCCTTACTCCTCTCCCTTCTCCTTCTCCTCCTCTGGTCTACATCCATCCTCTCTCACTCTCTTCTCTCTCCTCCTCCCTCTCTCCATTGCTCTTTCCCTTCTACCCATTCCCTTGGTCTTTTTTCTCCTCCTCACTCCCTATAGTCAAGTCCTACCTCCAACCCTCTCCTACCTATCCCTCCCGACCTTCTCTCCCCCCCTACCCTCTCCCCTTTCCTTCCTCCCACTCCTACCCTCCCCACCATCCCGTTCCTCCCACTCCTACCCTCCCCACCATCCCGTTCCTCCCACTCCCCCACCCCTTCACACGGTTATTGCACTTGTGAACGGCCGCTGTTGTGCATTTTTTTACTCCCCTCCCTCGTGTGTACAACTCACCACATACAAACAAAAAAATATCCGACTGACACCTTTTGCTACCAAAGCGTCACTACTGTAGGCTATACGGTGTTGGCTGTGGCAGAGGACCCGGGTTCGAACCTCTGTGTGTGTGTGTTCTACTTACTCCCCACACCTGCTACAGCACCTTCTTCAGTGTCATTCTTATGATTCCTTCCTACACTTTATTTAATTTTTCAAGAATATTCCCCAGCTAACTCCCCACAGCCAGTAGTTCTTAAGGGTATAAATCCACTTAATTCCCCTACAACTAATAAGTCCTAAGGAATTTTTCCCCTGTTAATTTCCCCCATTTAGCATCGCTCAATGGGTTTTCCCTCTCCCCCTCTCCTTCTTCCCCCCTCCCCGGCTACCTCCCCACACTCAGCATCTCTCTATATGTCTACCCTCTCCTCCCTCCTCTCCTCCCTCCACAACTAACAACGGGTCATGTCATGGCGCGGTAACAGCGTGGTTCCTTCCTCCTACAGGTGAACGAGCTAGAGAAGCGCTTCAACAAACAGAAGTACCTGGCGTCGAGCGAACGAGCCGCCCTGGCCAAACAACTGAAGATGACCGACGCTCAGGTCAAGACGTGGTTCCAGAACAGGAGAACCAAATGGAGGTCAGTTGGTGTGGATTTCTTGTTCTGTTCTTGTTTTGAGGTTGTTATTGACTTACAGATGTATTTTAGTATTATGTGTTTGTTTTGGTTTGTACATGGAGGCGAGGTATTTTGTTACTCTCTTATGTCTAAATCTATATTATGACAACTTAGGTCTTGGGATCACGATACGATATATAAACTTAAATGTATTGAAGCACATGAGACCAAAATCCTTATAATGTCTGCGCTTGTCGACGGTTTATAAGAAATTACATTTTGTTAACTCCATCGAACGAACGGCCATCAATTTCTCAATCCAATTTTCCTTCATTCATCAGCTGCTTTCACCCACGTCAACCCGGGATGAAAAACGCATCTGATGGCTGTCTGTCCATCTCGAAGGAACACCCCGCGTATATAACCACCCCCAGATGGTGTTAATTAGTCCATTATCATAGCTAGGTAGATGTGCACTTAACCAGTCACTGAGTGGATCGCATCAACCAACCAACCCAACCCTCCACCCGCCAACCCAGATCAAGCCAGCCAGATTATTCGACTTAAGGACAAAAACACCGAGCCCAGATAACAAGAGGCAATTTACCTCTAACTCTCTTCCGCGCTAATCTAATTAAGGGACGATAAAACATGGGCTTAATTGATCTAGATGGCAGTAATTATCGTCACAGTCAAATTAACTGGAAAACCTCGTTTCTCCCATCAATTATGCCGCCCCACTTTTACGCTACTGATCTCCCAACTGAAGCCGGTTTGCGCGGGAAAAGATTATACTATTTTGGCGGGAAAAGATTAGGACCTTTTTGGCGCGAAAAGGGTAATATCGTTTTGTTTTGGCGGGCGAAGGGAATTCTGGCTCACTTTTATTCTTTTGATCTTACCAAATGATGAATGCTTAGGCAGGTGAGAAAATTACGGCTTAGTCTGGGGAATATGATTATTATTCGGGGGAAGTTAATTACATTATTGCGTTTAGGAGAGGTTATGGTGTGTCTCTCGCTTAGTCGTATAAATGATTCTTGGCCGAGGGAAAACAACATAATTTTGACCCAATGGAATTTATATATTTTATTTCGTATTTTCATTGTCTTTTAATATATATAATAATCATTTTACTTCATCACTTCTTAAAAGACATACAGAATGAAGCAAGAAATTAATTGCTTCACTTACGACACAACACACACAGTATCCTACGTAAATTATACATCATTAGATGACATTTACACCCAAGGGAGAGATAGATAACAGTAGCTGAGAGACGAACCAGACACCCCAATGATAACAGTCTCTCCGGGGTGATGCGAGAGACAGTAACTTGACGGCCTGTTTAAAGATAACTCCTAAAAAAAGAAAAGTTATTATTGTTAGCGCCTGACTCGTGTTATTAATGGCCTTCCAGCAGACGTGACTCAGTACTGTGTGGTCACTGCGGTACACACTATCCTCACTGGTCATTAGTCACCTTGTTGCTTCACACTTGTTTATTTTCACACTGTTCCTTGCTTCAATTTCTCTTCATTTACTATTTCTTGATTATTTTATTGTAAGTGTCTATTTATTATCAATATTTTGTTAGTTATTCGCCATTTATTAATTCTATGTTGTTTACTATTTCTCAAGTTTCATTTTTCTTTGCTTGGTGTGTATGGATGTCTCCTTCTTTCCCACCTATACAGTATCCTTCCCTTCACTTTCCCAGACTAGACCAAAACAAGGGTAGTAAGTACATCTGGATAGTGGCTTCCCTTCTTGTGAATAGACTTTCCCTCATTGAGAAACTATATGCTCCCTTCTTAAAAAAAAATATCCTTCCTTTCTTCAATAGACTCCCTTGATGACAAACACATACGTTAGTAAAAAAAAATACTCTCCCTCTTCTCCCTCTACGACCTTCGGATTCCACCTTACGTTATCTGCACCTACAGTAAACTCCTCCCGACTACCCCCTCCTATGTCCCTGGTTGGTGCCCACAAGGACCAGACGCCTCACTAGCTACCTGTTAAGACATCATTAAGGTGGAAGACATCAGGTGGGTATAAGGTGAGCAGGGCGGTGACTTCCGTTATGTTGGTCTCAATACAATTACCATTAAGTCTCTCGAGAGGCTGGAGGAGGAGGGGTCTTCGTCAGGCCATTCCCTTCGTCTGCAACAGAACGACGAAGATAAAAAACGACTAAGACGATGACAAAGACGACGACAAAGACGACAGACGACTAAGATGACGACTAAGACGACGACAAAGGCGCCAAGAAAGAACTAAGACGATGACAAAGACGAATAACACGACGAAAAAAAGACTTAGACGACGACTAAGACGACCGAGTGATTAGAACACGTTAGTACTTCATTAAGACTGTAAAGAGAATCACCACTTTAAACCAGACGACAGCTGTATCAAGACCAGTCCTGAGGGTATTGTATTAAAAGTCTTGAACTGTTGTATTTGAAGGGGTTCTGTACCATCTGTTGGTTTAGTGGGATTCTAGAAGATCTTAATGTGAAACTCGATTTATTTTTGGCTCCAACACATGCTAAACGTCCCTACAGTTTCTCCAACTTTCCGGAGACACTAGAAATAATATCCTATTGATAGTTAACAATAAGAAAACACAGTTATCCTTAAAATTTCAGTGATAAAACTCCGGTATAACAATATTGTCGAGGTAGACACAAGAGTGCTGGACACCTTCCGTTTTCTTTCACATCTTCCGTTTTCTTTCACATCTTCCTATTGTTCGTCTCTTGTGTTTTCTACATTTTCTCTCTAGTTTTTGTAGTTTCTTTATAAATTTCCTTCGGTTTCCTTCTTATTGCTTTACCGTTTTCATTATCATATTTCTCACATTGTCTTTCTTATATGTTTCTCTAGTCTTTTATCTGTTTCTCTTACTTTTCTTACAACATATTTTTGGTTTCCAACGAATCATTCCTTTTCCCTACCATTTACTATTATAAATTCCCTAACTCTCATTTTTCCCCCCCACATTTCTAACATTTTCCCTCACTGCCGTTTTCTTTCTCCCCGCGTCGCAAAACCTTCCTACCATTTTCTTTCCAGCTAGCCGGTGCCTCCAGTGACGGCCCCTGGGTCACACACACCACGACAAGTTTCCCCCAAGTTAAAAGTTAATAGGGATTTGTCGGTTTCCAGAGCTTGTTAATTGGAAAATAGTTCGTGTAGTAATCTAGGACAGGAGAGGATTGTGTTCAGTGGTAATGGATTTTTATGCCAAGGGTAATTTGGTAGCGCGGATTAACCTCTCCTAAAGTCCCCGCGCCGCTGCCTACATTATATGTTGATTGTCCCAAGGAAAAAATATCATTAAATTTGTCGAGGAGTGGCGGGAGAGAGGGGAGGGGGGTGGAGGGGAGAGGAGGGGGGGTGGAGGGGAGAGGAGTGCCAGTGCCGGTGGGGTGGTGGATGGAGAGAGGGAGGATGGGGATGGGGTAGAGGTGGATAATGAGTGGTGATGTAGGAAGAGAACCACACCCACACACACTCATATCCCTCTCATTTACACTCTCTGTTGATATCTCTCTCTCTCTCGCCCTCTCTCTCTCTCTCTCTCTCTCCCCCTCTTTCTCTCTCTCTCTCTCATACCTATACTCCCCTTTACTAACACCCCTCTCACTAACACTCTCCCTCCCTATCATTTACGTAAGCACTCTCCTCCTGACAGACTTCCCTCCCACCTACCCACCCACCCACTACCCTTTCCACCTTGTTTTTACTCTCCCTCATCCCTCCCTCCCTTTCACCCTATTGGTCAAAACAGGGAGAAGGAGGAACCTGTATCGGCAAGCCAGTAAAACATACCAAGGAAAAAAAAAAAACCTCGTGTTTGTTTGGATAAATAATAATAACGCCGGCCATTTGGTGGAGGCGTCCGAGGCGAGGCAGTGAGGCGGAGGTCTTAACGAGTCTCACTCCACACTGATTACCATAAATAACATTTTATCATTCAATAGAGAAAGTCATCAGGAGAGAATGAGTATTAAATTGACGGTGAGGAGGTAGGTGCTGTGTCTCCCCTCCCATCCCCCCCCTCTCAGGTGCTGTGTCCCCCCTCAGGTAGGTGCTGTGTCCCCCCTCAGGTGGTGCTGTGTCCCTCCCCCCATCCCCCCCTCAGGTAGGTGCTGTGTCCCCCCTCAGGTAGGTGCTGTGTCCCCCCTCAGGTAGGTGCTGTGTCCCTCCCTCCCCCCCTCACGTAGGTGTTGTGTCCCTCCTCCCCCCCCCCTCAGGTAGGTGCTGTGTCCCCTCCTCCCCCCTCTCAGGTAGGTGCTGTGTCCCCCCTCAGGTAGGTGCTGTGTCCCTCCCTCCCCCCCTCAGGTGTTGTGTCCCCCTCCTGCCCCCTCAAGTAAGTGCTGTGTCCCCTCCCTCCCCCCCCTCAAGTAGGTGCTGTGTCTCCTCCCTCCCCCCTCAGGTAGGTGCTGTGTCCCCCCCCTCAGGTAGGTGCTGTGTGTGTCCCCTCACCCCGGTCTCTATGAAGTCACTGGAAATCCTTTAATAAACATATTGTGTATTATGTATGGGCATATTCTTCCTCCTTCTCTTTCTCCCTTGATTAATTCTCTCTCTTTCCTCCCCTCTCCTCCTCTGTTTCTTCCTCCTCTTTCCCTTTCTCTCTATTTTCCTGCCTACCTTCCCTTCGTCCTTGATTGCTCCCCCCTCCCTCCCCCTTTTTATTTTCTCCCTCTCCATATCTCTCATCCCTATCTCTTCTTTTCCTTCCTTCTCCTCCCTCTTCTTAAATCACCACCATCAGCACTTCACCTTCCCTGCACCATACCACCACCACTGCATCACACTGCCATCACAATCATCACCACCATCACTACACCAACTACCGTTACTATCATCACTACTATCACCACCACCGCAACAATCACCACCACCATAACAATCACCCCTACCACCACACCCCCATCATCACCACCTCAACAATCACCACCACCACCCAGACAAACAGGGCCCCCAGCAAGAGTTGGATTGAC